GCCTGTGGACCTATTTTTAGACTTCTGTCCTCCAGAACTGTAGGTTAATACATTTGTGTTGTTTGAAGCCAGTAAGTTTGTGATAATTTGTTATAACAGCCATAAGGAACTAATACAGTCATAGAAGTGAATTTCTGACATTTACAAATACAATGTTGGCATACACATTTAAAATATAATGGCCTCTATTCTTGCTGAGAAACTAGCAGGTTTAGACATGTTTCTAGGGACTATAGACTGCATGGTCTATATATATTATAGACCATATATACTGCATGGTCAGATACAAATATCTTATATAACAGTATCCTCAAACATATAACAGACCTTGTGATTCACTAAGAGATTTGCAAGTTTTTTTCATTCTAATTGTCCACATTTAAATGCAATTCCAGTACTCTGCTAGGACATTATAGAACTGAGCAGACTTCTGTATCTCTATACACGGACTCTCTAAGAATAGTTAGATATTTTTGAAGTCAAAAATAAAATCAACCTGATGAGGTAAGTAGGGCTCCCATACTTAAAATTATGTGTAGGATCACCAGAGTTCAGGGAAAGCTGATTAATTTGATCTTTTCTTATTACCAGTAACCATAGAGGTATTTCTATTGTGAGAACATCCTTTTATGAAGCATAAACAAGATTGTCTTGTTACCTCCTTTAATCTTAGAGCTTAGATTGTCCTATATCATTTTCTTGTTTGTTTTGAGGGTCACTTTTCAACACCGGAGCACAGCTGTATGAGAGGCCTCCTTCTTTGGAAATACAAAAATAGCACAACTTCCCATTATATCTCAGTTTCATTATAAGACAATTTTAGGCTGACCCAGGCTGTGTGATTCACTAATGTCCAGTCATCATGTGCAGTGGAGGTAGCTGAGCTAAGAGCCAGCCTCTCCTTCAACTGGAAAATTTTCAGACAAATGTTTATTTTATGAGGATGCTTCCTCTTCCCCATTGAGCTTATAGCGTATAATGAATGCTGGCTCAATTGCAGCACTAAAGGCAATATCCAGAAACCACTTACATTTCCTGATTTTTATTATTTACATTTCCTGATTTTATTATTTACTGTGGGTACATGCATCACATTGTTTACTTTCACGCACATAAATAATTGACCCATTGTAAATTCCTAAGCCACCAAATGGCATTGCATTTAAATTGTGTCCCCGCCCCCCCCCGAAAATTATGTAAAAGTGTTTACCTTTAGAGCCAGCAGACTCAAGAATAGCCTGGAAAGACTCTGACAAGTGTCTCCAATCTAAATGAGAACCCCTACAGCACCATTAATACTCTTATAACACACATGTTATGTCCTGTTATTGTGGCTTTATGTATTTACTGCCTGGCTTTGCAGTTTTTGTTTAGAACTCATTCTCCCTCTAAACTCATAATCTTGCAGTTTAGGGGTTGTGTTGGAAGACTTTTTCCCCCCACCTCCGAATAATGACTGGCATTATCACCAATTCATAGCAATAATGGTTTCCATGTTTTGAATGCTTACTATGTGCCAGGATCTGTACACGTTATCTCCTTGTCATCCTCACTACAGTACTGTAAGGTGGATATTATCCAACCAGTATTACAGATGATGAAACGGGGGCTCGTAGAAATGCAGCATCTTGCATAAGGCCATAAAGCTAATCCAGGAAATAGGATTGGATATCAGTCAGTCAGAACTCTCCACCCTGACTCTATGGAGTCTTTCACAGTGTTATTAGCACGGAATAAATAATGAATGGGTCGTTAACTTCCTGAAGTTCACCTGCATGACTTTTAAAATAGGAATAAGTGTTATATATGAAAAATAGTAGAATGATTTAATGTTGGAGTGCTGAGTCCATTAGCATTTCCTTACCATGCAATAATTTATTTTTTTTCAAAGATTTGTTTGATAAGGACCATTTTTAAAGTCCTTATTGAATTTGTTACAATATTACTTTCGTTTTTATGTGTTTTTGGTTTTTTGGCCACGAGGCATGTGAGATCTTAGCTCCCCGAGCAAGGATCGAACCCGCACCCCCTGCATTGGAAGGCGAAGTCTTAACCACTGGACCGCCAAGGAAGTCCCTCCATACAATAATTTAGACAATCCAGAGCTAAGGGTTGTCTTGTTAAAGGCCAATTCAATCTTGGTCAAGTTTCTACAGCAGCTTGATGTAATGTTTTTTCTGGAGAACAAGGCTGGAAAAAGCTGGGCAGGAGCAGGTAGAGGCTCTGAGTTTGACTTCTTAGTAAACTTCTTGAAGTGGGGACTTCTAGGCCTTTCCCCTTCAGCAAGTGATCAAGCTGAAAGGACAGTAGGGCTGGCCTCATGAGATGTGGCCAGTGCAGTTGTATACAACCCCACCCTTAGATGGGGCCCCCACTCTTGGCATTTAATGCTCTGTGGTTGCCATCTTGAAATTCTTAATAATTTTATCTTTGAATTTGTGTTTTGTAAGTGAAGCTTGATGACAACAGAGCAGGAGCTGGGTCTTGGAGTCTTGGCTTACAACAGGCTCATCTGCCCCAAACTGGGTCCTGGCTGCTGACCCTCTACCTTGGGGGTGGCACTGGGGGGCTTCAGTGCATATACAGGGAGAGTCAGGGTCCAGAGAGGTCCCATGTGCTAATTATGGGTGGGCCCTGGGTGCCTATGAGCACCCTTGCCTTGTGAGTATGCCCATGACCAAGAGAATGAGAGGTTAAATACAAATTAAGAAGATACTGTGACAGCTCTACAGAAGTGACAGAAGGAAGACAAAAGCTTTTTACCGGGTTTTTGTTCAAGGGGCCTCACATTTTCATTGTATACTCTGTCCAACAAATTATGTAGCTAACCCTGAAGGATGATCCAGATTTTTTGGAGGGAAAATATTCTGCAAAACCTGAATTGCTTTTTTTTTTTTAATTTTTTTTTTTACTTGTAACTCTCTCTCTCTCTTTTGTATTTTTGGTAGCTATTGGCTAGATGCTCATCAATCCTCATTTCTTTACTGGGCTCTTTTACAGGAAGTTATATTTCTCAGCCTCTTTTGTAGTTAGTTCTGGCCCCTAATATGTGGGTTCAAGTGTGGCCTGGCCATGAGAAGTTCCACATGATCCCCTTCATTCTCTCTTTTTACTCAAGGACTGGCTGGATGAAAAGGATCCAGCAAGGGTCTCCAAGGAACCCTTAAAGGTGGGATTGCCACAAGATAGAAGGAGACAGAATCCCCAAAGCACCATTGGAAGGCTGCCCACCAGATTCTGTATAAGAAATATACATTGATTGTGTTACATCATTGAGAATTTGAGCTTGTTAGTTATAGAAATAGTGTTAATTAACCCAGCTATAGTATTTTCAACAAAAGATATTTTTCTTAAGCAGGGTCTGTAAGTTATAGCCTTCAAACCAAATTGGGCCACCACCTATTTTTTAAATAAAGTTTTATTAGGAACACAGCCATGTCCATTTGTTTATGAGTTGTCCATGGCTGCCTTTATGGTACTGTGGCATAAAATGTGACAGAGAGAGTTCATCCCATAAATCCTAAGATATTTACTATCTGGCCATTTATAGAAAATGTTTGCAAACTACTGGTTTTATGAATAACTGATGTAGTGGTTCCACTCATTTTATCAAATGTGTCTATGCTGACTTGAATGAGCCTTTGTAAGATAAATAGTGATATAACCTGAACAATATGATTTTAATTCTTACTCTTTCCCATTTCTACCATTATAGCAAGTTGTTTTCCAAAGAGATGTAAGATTAAATCCAAGAAGATTCTTGCTATTGTGCAGTTGATTATAATGATAATAACAATAATAATACTAACAATTAGAATGATAACTGCTAGAACGTTCACTGGAATATATACAGCCAATATGTTCAATATTATATGTATATTATCTGCTTTAATTCTCATAACACCCTATGAAATAGGAATTGTCATTTCATTTTATTGATAAGAAAACTGAAGTTCAGAAAGGTTAATGACTTGCCCAGTATCACTAGGGAAGTGGAATAACTCCTGTGAGTCCTGGAGTTATATACACACATGCACACAATGGTGAGAAGAACAGCATCTTTCAAAGCTCTGCTTCAGAATCTTGGTTATAAGGATTATACACTTCAGGAAAGATAATGAAGGAGTCCTCTTTGGGGAAACAGAATCTCCCAAGAATGAAAACCTATGGACCTTGATATTAGAGGGTCACCCAGTACCATTCCCAGTAACTTTACAGTGAAATCTACTAACTATCAAACTGGCCTATGAATATATAGCTTTTTAGTGCTTCATTTTAAAATATGACCAGATAGCCAAAAATCTGCAGATTTTTGAGGAAGTTCTCTAATTACATAAAGAGATCAAAACAAAGAAGCAGATTAAAAGGGGAAGTAAAGGAAATAAAACACATAGCAAAATAAAAAAACAAATAAAAACAGCAAATGATTTCCTTAAATAAATAAAAACAAGAGCCTACTTAAAAGAATAGAAAATCTTGGACTTTAAAAGCTCTTGGACATTAAAAATAAATTAGCACAACATTTTAAAAAATCAACAGAAAAGTTGGAGATAAAGTTAAGAAGATCTTCCAAGAAGAAAAAGAAAGATGAATCAAGGTTCAAGAGGTCTCCCAAGAATTAACACAAAGTGCAAATTGGTAGTTTCAATTTTTTTTGTCAGTAGTGCTAGAATGAGGGAAACTGAGGGAAATGGAGGGAAAGAAATTATAAAGGAAATAATGATGAAAATTTCCAGGAATTGAAAACCATGAGTATAATCATTGAAAGAGCCAACTGAATGCCCATTTCAGAGAATGGGATAAAATATACAGGATGGCACATTATCATAGAGTTTCCCAACACTGGACATTAAGAGGATCAGGAATGAGAATGAAGTTGGACTTCACACTAGCAACACAGTAGGCTAGAAAAAGTGGAGCAACACTATTATAATTCAAAGAGAAGATGATTTCCAACCTGTGAGTTCTCAAAAAATATATTTCATATCCATCTTTTTCAGGAAGCTACTGGAGATGTATCCATAAAAATAAGAGATTAAATCAAGAATGAGAAAGCTGTGGAATCCAGGTAAGAATTCAGCCCAGGGGACAGGGACACATGGAATTCCCAGGATAGTATTTGTACAGTAGGCCTTGGAAATCAGGTGGTCCAGAAAAGGAAGATGGAGGGGACTTTAGGAAGGAATGTCACAGTAGTATTGATATTATTTATAATAACCTAAATTGGAAGCAACCCAAATGTCCATCACCAGTAGAAGAGATAAATAGTGGTATAATGATGTAATAATATAGCAATATAACAATTAAAATGAATAGACTACCACTAGCTACATGCAACAATGTGGATATATTTGTCGGGTGAAAAAACAGAAATGAAAGAACACAATATATGATTTCACACAACCAGACAGAATTAATCTATGGTAATAGAAGTAAGAACAGTGGGTACTTTTGAGGGGATTGTTTAACTGATAGGGGGTTCAAGGGAGACTTCCAGCGGGTGGGGGAAGGGTCTGGTAATGTTTCTGGTTTTGACCTGGATGATGGTTACATAGATGTGTTTACTTTGCAAAAATTAATCAATTATGATTTGTTAATCTTTGTTTACCTAATTTTTTCAATTAAAAGGTTTACTCTGAAAAAGGAAGAAAACAAAAGCAGGTTTACAGTATAATCCCAATTTTATTTAAAAAAGTTATAACATTGAGAAATAATGTAATGTAAAGATCTATAGCAGAATGTTGATAATGTTTACCTCTTGGATGTACCATTATTGAATGAGTTTTATTTTTGATGATTTTATATACTTTTCTCAATTCTCTATAATGTATAAATATTAATTTATTATCAGGAAAAAAAGGAAACATAAAAAGAACTACACTGAGATAATATTTTCCCCTGCTTATCAGATTGTCAAAGATTAAAAAGGTAAGAGCATGAGGGATGGGTGCCCCATACCCTGTTGGTAGAAGCTATAAACTGAGACATGTATGATTATTAAAATGTGTCCACCATTATACCCAATCAATTTCACCCCTAAGAATTTATACAATAGCAACAGATAGGCAAGTATGTAAAGATCTTTATGAAAGGGTGTTAATTTTAGCTGTTTTTTAGTTAAAACGGAAACTGTTGAATGTCCATTAAAAGGAGATTGGTTCAATACATTATGATATAAACTCAGAATGGAATGCTATAGAGTCATTAAAAATGAGCACCTGGATCTATATTTATTTATTTATTTACTGCGGTACGTGGGCCTCTCACTGTTTTGGCCTCTCCCGTTGCGGAGCACAGGCTCCGGACGCGCAGGCTCAGCGGCCATGGCTCACGGGCCTAGCCGCTCCGCGGCATGTGGGAATCTTCCCGGACCGGGGCATGAACCCGTGTCCCCTGAATCGGCAGGCAGACTCTAAACCACTGCACCAGCAGGGAAGCCCTGGATCTATATTTATTAACATGGAATGCATTTGGATTATAGAACAACATATACAGTTTGATCATATTTTAACAATTATAATAAATATATGGATATATATGTACTGAGATAGAGCAATAATGGTTATCTCTGGATGGTGAAACTGTATTATTTTTACTTTTTCATCATTCTTTTCAGTATTTTGATTTCTCTTTTATAAATGTATTAGCCTACTTGGGCTGCTAAAACAAAATACTATAGACTGAGTGACTTAAACAGCAGACATTTATTTCTCACAGTTCTGGAGGTTAAGAAGTCCGAGATCAAGGTGCCAGCAGATTTGGTTCTTGGTGAGGGCCCTCTTCCTGGCTTGGTGATGGCTGCCTTATTACTATGTCATCACATGGAGGAGAGAGGGAGGGAGAGAAAGAGAGAGAGAGTGAATTCTGGTCTCTCTTCCTCTTCTTATAAAGGTACTAAACTCATCATGGGGGTCCATTCTCATGACCTCATCCAAACCAAACTTCCTCCCAAAGCCCACACCTCCAAATATTATCACGTTGTGGGTTAGGGCTTCAACATATAAATTTTGAGGGACACATTCAGTCCATAACAAACAGCCTGCATAATCTTTCTAATAAAAAGAAATGACCAAGGTATTTTTATTTTGGAAGGAATGAAACTAGCTAAGAGAGAGTGAAGCATTAGTTGTGCCAGAGAATAACCATGTTTTATTTTAATTTTCTTTTCCACTTGAGTTGTTGTTGGTATTTGTTGTGATTTTAAGATTTGTTTTATAGACCTCATAGAGGAGAAAAGAACTGTCTTAAAGAGAACCTTGAATTTCTTACCTATTTTTACTGTTATCTAATACATTGACCTTGGAGGGAAGATGCGATAGGTGTTAAGTCACAGCTTGGCCACTCATCAGCTATGTGATGATGTTAGGCTAGTCACGTAGCTCCTCTGAGCCTGAACTCTTTCAGCCTGTAAAATACAGATAGTAGTATTCCTAATGAGTTGAGAAAATGTAAGCAGTGTGTGGTCAGGCCTTGCCAGTCCTATTTACTGCTGAATCTGCCTCCCACCCTCCCAATCTAGAACAGTCCCTGACCCAGAGTAGGTCAGTAGTTACTTGTTACATGAATGAATGAATAAGTGCTATTGTTCTGTAAACTGTAAAGTGCAAAAATGTAAGTGTTGATTTCATAGTCATTAAACATGATCACTCAGATCTGTATTTATTATCATGGAACCAGTTTGGGTTATAGAATAGCATGTATTGGGTGCTTGCTAACATTTCCTTTTAGTTTGCAGAAATTAGTACAGTATTCAAAATTACACTTGAAATACTAGGGGAAAGTCCAGGGATTTATGGGTTGTGTGTTAGTAAAGCTATGATCTTATAAAAATGAAAGTTTTGGGCATATGTAAAATCAAGTTTTCTGCTGGGTTTTGTGACTATATAAATGGAAAAACAATATTTTTCTTCCAAAAATGATTCATCCAACAAAAATAGTGGTATGGTGGATATAAAATAATTTTATGGATAGCAGTAAATCTTTGTGGAATAAGATCCTAATCTTTTTGTGAAAACATAGGACATGCTTCTAGATGCCGATTAGCTTCATGCAGAAACTACAGAGAATGGTAAATATTCTAGTCATCTATTCTAATTAAAATTTAAATTGAAATCTGGGTTCTAATGAAGAGAAACTTAGTGCTGGCCCTGTGGGAACTCTTCAGAGGGTGAGAGGGAAAATGCACAAAGACATAAAAAGATTTCACACAGACATTTTCTTCCCATGTGTTTTATTTGAACATACAATTTATATTTTATATAGGAGCATGTCTTTCCCTGATGGAGGCCAAACACTGTCCTTTTGACATGGACATTCTTAAAATTGTGTCATATCCCAAGAGTGCAGACCCAACTATGTCACTGTGGACACATTGGCATTATCCCTCTGACACCGTCTCAGGGAAATTAGGTGACAGCTCAACTCCACCTGAGAACTGGATTCATTACTACCAATTTTGGGCATATGATTTGGCAGACAGGGCTCAATGTCAGAGGTTACTGCTGTGTTGAGGGAAAAAAAATGTTGGGTTGCTACAGAGATATAATCAAGGAAGAATAAAACTTAAAACTCCATACAAATCTTATTGGGCAACTTTAAAAATTAAGTCTGGTTGTCAAATTATTTTACAACATCCCTTTAAGAGCTACTTGTTAAATACCACACACAAGCACAAGCCTAGAGAACTCATTCAAAGAGATAAGTTATTCAAAACATTGACAAGAAATAAATGTACAAAATAAAGACATTTCAAAAGAAAGATGTCAAAATGGTGATTTCTTACTAAATGTGATATTGTCATAAACATAAAGTAAATATAGGAAATGGAAACACTAAAAAATCCATTATAGTATTTTAAAAGACATATTTGCACCACTTTAAAAAGATGTGATTTCAACCAGACATTTGAATCAAATTCAACTATTTTTTTAACTTTGAACTGCATTTGTTGCTAAAACATGACACACTAAGTGTGTCATTCCTCCATCTTATAGAATATTTCCTGCTATATTTCTCCACATTTATTCTCTTAGGTTAATTGGGGAAGTGAAACTAATTCTCTATTCAGGATTCCTTCTCAGTCAAGAACAAAGACATTTCAGCCTACAGGAGAATATCTGAAGGCAGAAGTGGTTCTAGAAAGGTAATAAACACTGTGTTAAGGCATCTTTCCCTGGCTGTGAGCATTCTACAGATAGATGAAAGTTAGCAACTGTCTGTTGGACACTGAGTGGTAGGTAGCATGCCAGAGAGAGAGAGAGCTCACAGCTAATCTATTGTGAGCACTATGCAGCATCTCCTCCTCAACCTCCCTTGGTTACTATGCAGAGAGAGGGCTGGGAGAGGAACATCTCCCCAGCAACACTTGAAGGAAGAGCACGCTGAAAAAACAGAGCACAAAATGACAAGGACAGATCTGACACGGACTACCAGTGGAGTTTGATTAAAATGTACCAAAATTGTAAGTTTTCCTTTCCTATTTAACTGTAAGACACAGTCAGTGTTGCTTAATGTCAATGCCGTTAATGAAGTTGTCAGGCTTGTCACTTTCGTTGAATACCAACTTTACTAAGAAACTGGTGCTACAGTTACCTCCAGCTGTATACGATTAAATTCATTCAAGTATGCCCAGGATCCAGACTGTTGGATCTTTGGAGAATTTCCCTATGGCTTTGGAGTCTGCCCCCATCAGAACAACTCAACATACCTTGTGAAAGACAGAAGCTTAAAACACTCATCGGAAACACAAAATTTATTTCGAACTTCCTCCAAAATGGGCCAAATGGAAATTGGAGGATTCTATTCTCCTATTAGAAGAACCAGTCTCGTTCGCAGACTTTGTGGCACTTTTTGAGGCACTCCAAGACTCTGTATCCCTACTGTCTGTCTTCTGCATTCCTTTCACAAGTGAAATAAAATTCCACCATTTTTCCTTTGTTCATTCCTTCCTTCCTTTATTCTCTTATTCAAGAAATGTTTGAGTGTCTGGATTAATATTGCATTAAGTACAGGAGGTGATAAAAAGAAGAGCAGATTTTTAAGAATTGGAAATTCTAATAGGGTAGAAAGACTTGTGCATAAATAGCTAACATCCAAGATATAAAGTAGTAAGCACTGCAAAGAAAAAGTATTATGGGCTGAAATTCAGGTGGGAAGATAAGAAAAAGTTTGAGGCTGAGGCTGCATCTGAACTAGGCCTTCAAAAGTGGATAATATTTGAATATTGGGGGTACTTGCTGAGCTCTCTCCCTGGAACTCTCTGGTCTTCACATGGCTGGCTCCTTCTTGATATTTAGTTTGAGGTCAGACATCAACCACTCAGAAATATCTTTCCCTGAACACTCAGTGAAATGACACATCCCACTCACTTTCTATCACATCACTCTGTTTTATTGTCTTCAGAGCACTTATCACTCTGAAATTGTTGTGTATTTATTTACTTTTTTCACCCATTAGAATAAAACCTCCATGGAAGTAGATACCTTGTCCCACTTGATTAATGCTGTATTCCCAGGGCCTAGAATATGAGTGGCCTGAAGCAAAGGCTCAAAAAATGTAAATGGGTGAAATGAGTGAAAAAGATGAGGAGAAGAAGACTCCAGGTTTCGGGAAGAGTATAGGAAACAGTGAGGAGGCTGGAGCACGTGGATGTGCATAAGAAACAGTAAAACAGGTGTGAAGTCATGGCAGAAAACACATCCGAAAGGTAGGCTGACGCAGACGTTGAGAGTATCAAATGCTGGTTTAAGGAATTTGAATTGTTTTCTATTGTAAGTGGGCAGCCATAGATTTTGGAATAGGAAAGTCACTCAAAGCAGCATTGGAAAAGCTTAGCCTTTCGGCTGTGTCCAAAATAAAGGAGCAGAGACTGAAGTCTGGAAGAACAGTTAGAGAACTCTTTAGTAGTTTAAGTGGGAAGAAATAAGATT